ACACCTCAACTGCATTAGAAGCAAACTGAGGACACCAACTCCTGCCTTTTTATAAACCACCCTCTCCCAAGCACCTCACATTCTGCAGGGGATGCAAGAAGAGCTGAATAAAGGCCTAAAGGTGAACTGAGTCAAGCTTAGTGCCATTTTCCATAACACCCTGAGACCTCAGGATTGGGCAAAAGAAAGGCAATGTCGCCATCTTGGTGACCTGGATCACAGCAGGATTTGCTGGAAATTGATCTTTCAGGATCAGGGAGTGACGCCCACGCAGCTAAGCTACCAGGAGGGAATGGAGTTGTGGCGAGTGCCACTGTCTGCCTCTCCCGTGAAAGGAAGACTCGGTGAAGTAAGAGGCACTGGGCAGCCTGTTCAGGTGAACAGGTGAGCGTCGGCCTGGGGAAGGGTTTGCAGCTGGGGGTGGGGATGGTGAGCTGAAGTTCTGGCAAGGCTGTGCCAACATGGTACTGGGCAAGTTAGAAGGACACGGTGGCCCTCTAACCAGCATGGGTACGTGGACAGCAGGCTCCTCTCTTTAGAATTGAGGATGGAGAGGAAGCCAGAGCTCAGCAGGCCCAAGGAGAGCAGGGGAGGTAAGACATGGAGTCAACGCCCCTTCCTGGCAAAATCGCCTCCAAGCAGGAGGTGATGGCTGAGCCCATTTGTCAGACAGCTCAGAAATGGTTTCTTTGTACACGGCCTTGAAACGTGCATCCCAGTGCCAGAGGTATCCAAATGATCATCATTCCTTGCTAGTGGGGGCTCTCAAACTTGACCTTGCATCCACGTCACAGACTAGCCCAGAGGGCTTGTTAAAACACGGATGGCTGAGGCCCAACTCCAGAGCTTCTGATCCAGTGGGTTTGGGTGGCACCTACAGATTTCCGTTTTTTATTCTTTCCCCCCCCCTTTTTTCTTCCTTTTTTTCTCCTTTTTTCCTTTTTTTTTTTTTTTTTTAGTTTTTATTTTTATTTTAAGTTTCAGTGTACATGTGCAGGATGTGCAGGTTTGCTACATATGTAAACATGTGCCATGGTGGTTTGCTGCACCTATCTACCCATCACCTAGGTATTAAGCCCCGCATGCATTAGCTATTTTTTCTAATGTTCTCCCTCCCCAAACCCTACCCACCAACAGGCCCCAGTGTGTGTTGTTCCCCTCGCTGTGTCCATGTGTTCTCATTGATCAGCTCCCACTTATGAGTGAGAACATGCAGTATTTGGTTGTCTGTTCCTGTGTTAGTTTGCTGAGGACAATGGCATCCAGCTTCATCCATATGCCTGCAAAGAACATGATCTCGTTCCTTTTTATGGTTGCATAGTATTCCATGGTGTATACGTACCACATTTTCTTTATCCAGTCTATCATTTGGGTTGATTCCATGTCTTTGCTATTGTGAATAGTGCTTCAGTAAACATACGTGTGTGTGTATCTTTATAATTTATATTTATATTTAATAAAAATATATTTAATATTATAAATATAAATATAAATTATAAATTAGATTTATATTCCTTTGGGTATATACCCAATAATGGGATTGCTGGGTCAAATGGTATTTCCTATTCTAGAATTTGAGGCATCACCACACTGTCTTTTGCAGTGGTTGAGCTAATTTACCTTCCCACCAACAGTGTAAAAGGTATTTCTCCGCAACCTCCAGCATCTGTTGTTTCTTGACTTTTTAATAATCACCATGCTGACTGGCATGAGATGGTACCTCATTGTGGTTTTGATTTGCATTTCTCTAGTGGAGATCTCCATTTCTAACAAGCTCCCAGGTGGGGCCACTGCTGCCACTCTGGGGACCACACTTTGAGCAGTCGGTATAGGGATTTTGACTGAGCCTCAGGTTGCAGTGAGGCCACGTTTGCTCTGCGTGATCTGCTGCTCAGGAAGATGGGGGCTTCATGCCTCAGGGAGGTGTCCCTCACTCCACAAACCTTGGCTGGACACTTGCTATGTGCCAGAAACTATGCCCTGGCCTGGGGATGTGGAGATGAGTGCATTCCCTGCTCCCCAGCCTCAGCCTAGGAGGGGCTCCCCGTGACTACTCCTATCCCTCTCAAATCACTCTTGGAGTTGTAACCAGGGTGATCTTTGAAAACACCAAATCCTGCCATGTCACCTGTCCCACTGACCTCAGCCTAGGAGCTAGGAACTCACCAGTTCCTCCCTGTGATATAACTCAGAGCACATCGCTCAAATTCCAGACATTTCCTCCAATTACGTCCTCCCCCAACACCTCTGATGTCTTGCCAGGACTCTGAGGGGCTGACAGGCAGCAGAGGAGGTAGGAGGCCCAATGGCAGTGGAGAGCAGAGGCCCTGGCTCCAAGGTGACCTCATTTCAGCACTGAGTCCTCACCTAGGACTCCCCTGGGAAAACTGAGACTCTTGGCCACCCTACCTTGTTGCTCCTACTTCCTGAGTGATTTGGCCTCAGCTTCATGGCCAATAAACAAGAACAGAGAGGGGCATATGGGAGCATTTACACACATGTGTTCTGGAGCCAGGTCCAAGCTGTGGGACCAGGATGAGCTGCCTGGCTTTTCTGTGTCTCAGTTTCTTCACCTGCAGAATTGGGCGTGACAATAGTCCCTGCCTCAGAGGAGTGCTTTAAGAATTCAATGATAAAATGTATGTATGTAAAAATGCTTTAAACTGGATATGGCAGGTGGTGCATTGGCTATTATAAAATTAATTATTTCTTTAAACATGCATCTAAAACAGCTCAAGCCCTCATTTTTCCAGCAATGAGAATGAAGGAAATTTAAAGTCATTTCAGTTGAATCCCAAAAGAACATCTGCTAATATACTGCTTACAACAAACACTCTTAAAGTCAAATACCATGCCCACCAAAGACTGAATATACCAAGATTTGGAAAAAAAGATATGTAAAGATACATGCACGTGTAGTGTGTTGGGGCTGGTGGGGGAGAACTCAAAGAAACAGCCATGAAAAAAATGATTGGAAATACTAAGCAATTGAATTCAAGATATAAACATTACAAAGAGGTTTACTTCACATGTACATATACAAGAGCTATCTAGTATTCACAATGATGGTATAATAGTCACGAAGCTTTATGCTGTAAGTAATATAGTGCTAAAATATATAAAGCAAATTGATCTGAAATGTCATTAAGCTTAAGTATTCCTTCCTGAAGAAACCCTTCCAGGGTCCCTCAAGGGCTCTACAGGGGTCTCCACTTGTCTTATCACAACATTTATGGTTAGTATTTGTCACCATTCACTTAACCACCTCTCCACCGCCCTCACTAGAACTGAAGCCCTGAAAGCCTCAGTCTGTCTAGTTTATTTGTTGTGTGTTCTACAACTCATGTGCATTCAATAAATAATTGTTGAATGCATGACAAATAGATATATATTAAATTCTATATCCCTAAAACAGAAAACACACTTTTTTTTCAAATATTCAATGGATGTTTACAAAAATCCATCACATATATTTGGTCAAAGGAAAATTTTAATAAATGTCTAAATGAAGAAACTCTACATTACTAAATGTAACAAAAGCAACCAACAAAAACTCCAACCTGCTGCAATTAAAAATTACTTTGTGAAATAGCTTCAGTCAAACAAGAAATCAAAATCAAAATTATATTATTTATAAAGTAAAATATAAACAACAACAATCCACATAAAAATGTATGAGATGTGGCTAAGTCTACACTTGGAGGAAAAAAATGAGAGATTGAAATGTTTTCGTATTTAAAAAACAAATAACTAAACTAAATGAAGGAAGCAGTCAAAGCTAGAACTAAAAAGAACTTAAAAAAGAACAAAATAAACCCCAGCAGGAGGGAATTAATAGAGATAAAATAAAAGTTTAAGAAATTAGAAAACAGAACAAAACATAGAATTTACAACGATATTCAAGAGCTTGTTTTCTGAAAGGCAAGCAAAGTAGACATGCAAATGGAAATTTTAATTAAATATATAAATAGTCTCATCACAAGTGATTTTTTTACACTTGATCTTATCCAAAAGGCCAAGAAGCGATGTAATAGTTTTAAAAAAAAAACTACAAAATATTTTTAAACTATAAAATAGGAGTAAATTATGGAATAACTCTGAAAATCTACAGGAAAGAAAATTACAAGATTTTACTTAAAAAAAGAACAATCTAGAAGACCTAAATATGCAGAGACAGACTACACTCCTGGATGGGGAGAATTGAGACTTGTAAACATACCAGCCCTTCCCAGATTAATAAGTGAATTTAATATAATTCCAATCACCATACTAATGAGATCTGGGGGCGAGAGAAAGGCAGATTTTAACAACTGAGTATAAAACTGTTCTGAGAAACAAAATGCATGACAATAACTAAGACAGTTCCGAAAAATAGAATAATGAAGAAAGCCAGTGAAATGGGTGGGGATCCTTCACCCAGGCACCCAGGAGCAGGGATCTAGAACCAAGAGAATAGGGACTCATGGTTGTGGGTGCCCTGTCCTCTTCCCCTCGTTCATACTGACAGCCTGCCTGGCCAGACCAACACCCAGCCGCTCACCCCAACACCCAAGACGCTTAGACCACCCACAGTCCTTCACCAGACAAGGCCAGACCAACACCCAGCCAGACCAACACCCAGCCGCTCACCCGAATATCCAAGATGCTTCGACCACCCACAGTCCTTCACCAGACAAGGCCAGACCAACACCCAGCCGCTCACCTGAATATCCAAGATGCTTCGACCACCCACAGTCCTTCACCAGACAAGGCCAGACCAACACCCAGCCGCTCACCCCAACACCCAAGACGCTTCGATCACCCACAGTCCTTCACCAGACAAGGCCAGACCAACACCCAGCCGCTCACCCCAACACCTAAGACGCTCGATCACCCACAGTCCTTCACCAGACAAGGCCAGACCAACACCCAGCCGCTCACCCTAACACCCAAGACGCCTGACACCCACAGTCCTTCACCAGACAAGGCCAGACCAACACCCAGCCGCTCACCCTAACACTCCAAGACGCGATCACCCACAGTCCTTCACCAGACAAGGCCAACATCCATTCCCTGGCCCTCACCTACCTTGGATTTACACCGAAGACTTAAAATTTGGTGCCTGTCTGAGTCCTAATGCTTCAAAATGTGATTCTGTAGCTGTTGCTATGGGACTAAACAGAAGAAAGATAATTATTAAACAAAGTGGGGGCAGGCAGACCCAAAGTAATAAAAGATGGTGTGGTCCTTGCCCAGACAACGGACTTAAAGGACAAATAGATGAACGTCAGTGCTAAGCTCATTCAGGACACTGCCATCGGCACAAATGAAGAGGCCGGGATAGTGGCACCGGGCTCTGTGAACAAGGAAAGCTGGCAATGTGTAGTCCAGTGGGCTCCAGGGGTGGGGATGATGGAGGCCACCTATGCTGTGACTGCTGAACTTAGGAAGCAGCCTGTGACAACTGAAGAAGGAAAGAGCTTGAAGAACTTGCTCAGACTACAAATGGAAACCAAAAGAAAATTGCACAGCATCATTTCTGGTGTGAGGAGAAAAGGTCAGAAGAAAGACAGCCTTTACAGTCAATGTAACATCAAATGACTGATTAGAAATTATTGAAAACACAAAATTCAAGGGACATTTTCCCCTCCATATGTTATTGACATGTACAAAGGTCCGAAGTATGAATTCCAGGATGCTTGCAGTGAGAAGCAACATTCTAGTGTCCAGTCCCAGAGGAAAGAGCTATTTCTTCCACAACATCCCTATCAAGAGTCCAGGTTCTGACCTCTCTTTGATCTGAACTTGGTCATGTGCATAGCCCTGAGCCAATTGTAGTGGGTATGGGTTTAGAATCGAGATTCCTGCTGCAACTGCACCAGACCAATCTGGTTCAACTTCGATGTAGCAAAGTTGTGAGTTGTTTTCCGTTGCCGTGGGCTCCCAGGTTGAAGGTCGCATCATCTGAGCTTGTGACGAACTTTTGACCTCCTCTTTCTTTCAGAATGAACCTTCTGGAAAACATCAGAGATTCCCCAGGATCCCATTTTTAATTCTGAGAAGTGAGCTTGGCACCATCGGGTGTCCAGTTATTCAAAAGCAGTGCTTCCCTTCCCTCCCCTGCCTCACCCTAGGGTCACATGGCTTCCAGCTCATCGATCCCTGGAAGAAAGACACATTCCATAGATATGGGGATCAACAGAGAAAAGCCCTGCTCTGCTGTGGGATCTCAGCTGTCTCTACCCCGCAAGTTGCCGTCAGCAAAGACCCCTTCTGGGGGCACATCAGCGGGGAAAGGGGTGGGCAGGGGTGCTTGTTCTTGGAGAAGTCAGCATTTCCAGTTATCGTGTAAAAATGCCTGCAGAAAAGACAAGCTGTCCAAGGGAAATAATCTCAAGGACATTCATTTCTGGAAATGTATCTCCCATTCCCTCCCTTGCAAAGTCCTGAGGGCTGCTCTTTCCAAGACGGTGTGGACCTGGATAGATTTTGGCTAAGGGCTGGCTTGAATGCTCTATTCTTAGGGGATCCAGCTGTCTTCCTCTGGGCCTCCATATCCTGCTTGTCGCAGTAGAAACGAGATCACTGTCCTCAAGACAAAACAATAGTAAGTAGCATTCATATTGCATCTTATATTTTTAAAAACACTTTCATTTCCTTTGCTTCACTTCTGAGTCAGGTACTGTTCGATCCCCATTTTACAGAGGAGGAAACCCAGGCCCACAGAGCTGATGGATCTCAGAGCATCATCTGGAAAGTACTGAAGTATTGCTATCCAGCCCTTGAAGAACATGTGCATGTTGTAATTGCACAAATTCGTTGGAAAATAATAGTAATAGTAAAGGTAAAATTAAGCAGTCGCCACCAATGGTGCAAATCTCATAACTGCTATTTTCTCTGTTTCAGTGGTCATTTCCTTTTAAGGCTATGTGGTTATTCATTTAACTAATCCTCTGTTGTTGGCTATCGAGGTTGTTTTCACCTTTCCAATTCAGGCTTTCTGAGGCAGATCCTCAGTCCTTTCCAGTGTACTAGGTGGCTCTGCCATACAGGAAGGGACGGTTTAAAAGTCAGATTGACTTAGAAATCCTTTGCAACTAAGTGGAAATCATAATTAAAATGACCACATGCCTGACACGTTTACTGCACTGTTGCACCCCCAAAAGCACAAGAGAAAATGGATGGGATGATACAGTGATGACTCTGAAGACATGGCCGCCCACATTCCCACAGCCTCTTCATTTTCCTGCAGCCAGTGCTGCCCTGCCAGGGCACGGGTAGGCCAGGGGTTCCCAGTGGCGTGCTAGGAACACTTAACAACAGGGTACCTACAGGGAGGGGAGTCCTGATTTTAGTGTTTGCCAGTTTCCATGGTGTAAATACTCCCACCATGTCAAGCTCCCAGTGTGTGTCACTGGACACAGGTTGCTGAGTATAACGGGATCCCACGAGCTAACAGGAGCTGGAAGTACCCATGGGTTGGAATGACACCTTACGCACCAAGAGCTCCCCAGCCCAGCTAAGTTCCAGTTTCCACAGCGATGAATGGCTTGGTAACACTTTGCTTCCTTCCTGCGCCTGTCTTATGTCCTGCCTTGCTTACACCCCTGGCAGCTGGAGCTGCCTGGGATCAGCTTCAAAATAAACTCTACACTCAGAGCTTGCATCTGGGGGAGACTCAACCTAAGGTGCTCTGTAACACAAACTTCACAGCAATGGCAATTTTGAACTTCGAGTCCCCATAAGAAGGCAGGAGTTCAAGGTATGTGTGGGAGTTATTTTCCACAAACATTCAGTGTCAAGAAAACGCCACTAGAGCAGGCTGCTGCAAGGAGGTGCCTGTGACATTTGGGGTTGGCTGCAGGCTGAGCAAAGAAGCGAATACATCTCAGCTGAAGCAGAGAGGAGCACTCCCCATGGTTTAGAACCCAGGGAAGAAGAAAGGATTGCCCGGCCCTGTCACTTCCTCTGCATGTGCCCAGTTCAAGCCTCCGCTGCCTCTCACTTGGACCAGCAGCAGGGCCACAGTGGGTCGGTCCCCTCCACCCACCACCCTTGTCACCCCGTCTCCCACCCTGAGCCCGGGTGTCTCCTGCTGAAACATATGGCCATGCTCACCTCTTTCTTTCTCTGCTTACAACCCTTCAAAAGCCCCTAAAGATCTCATCTTCCACACCATGGCCTGTGGAACCTCCCACGATCTGGCCCTGCCTTCCCTCCAGACCAGCCCCAACCCACCCCTGCATTGCTCCCACCTGCTTACCTCTCTTTGTGCTGTGTCCATTGCCTGGAATTCTCTTCCTTCTCCTCTTTGTCCAAATCCTGCTCATCGTCTTAAACTCAGCGAGGAGAGTCTCCTCCTCCAGGAAGCCCTCCCTAACTTCCCCTATCCTGGATTAACTAACATTCACTCCCAGGAGTGCCCGGCATAGCGCTATCACTTCACTCATCCACTGTATTGTGATGACATGTTCATGCCTGTTTCCCCTAGGAGACTGTGACTTCCCTAAAGAATCCTTGTCTGAATCATCTCTGCATTCCTGTAGCTTTGGCATCTTGTTTGGGGAATGGTGGGTGCTTTGTAAGAATGTTAAGGCAATTCATTCATGCATTCATTCATTCATACACTGCTTCTGGCTGCAGAAATGCCTGCATTCTCTCTGCTATTGATGGCTAAGTTGTGAGGAGTGGCTGGGGGGCAGCAGTTAACCAAATTGATTAGATATGTATACTAAATAAAGTACTGGTAGCGCTCTGGGTCTTAAGAAGTGGGGCCCCTGACCTCAAGGCACCTACCAGGAGACAGGAGTGCACATCTAATGCGCTGGACCAGGGCACTTCAAATGTTAACCGGCCCACAAATCACCTAGGGACCATGTTAAAGTGCAGGTTCTGACTCTGCTGGGCTGGGCTGGGGCCCCAGGGTCTTTATTTGCTTAGTTAGTTAGTTAGTTAGTTAGTTAGTTAGTTATTTTTGAGACAAAGTCTCACTCTGTTGCCCAGGCTGGAGTGCAGTGGTGCGTTCTCAGTTCACTGCAACCTCTGTCTCCCAGGTTCAAGTGATGTTCCTGCCTCAGCCTCCTGAGTAGCTGGGATTGCAGGCATGTACCACCACGCCTGGCTAATTTTTGTATTTTTAGTGGAGACGGGGTTTCATCATGTTGGTCAGGCTGGTCTTGAACTCCTGACCTCGTGATCTGCCCGCCTTGGCCTCCCAAGATGCTGGGATTACAGGCGTGAGCCGCCGTGCCTGGCCCAGAGGATCTTCATTTCTAACCAGCTCCCAGGTGACGGTGCCCTGCTGGTCCTGCACCACAATGGGTGCTTACCGGTGACGTGTCGCACTCTGCAACCAAAGGCAAGGCTGCATGGCACACATCCTTCCCTCTCACCCCACACACTAGCATGTTCCTTCAATCAACTCTCACTTTGTTTCCTAAATGTATTTAAAGGTAAATTTTAAATTCTTATCTTAAATGAAAAAGAAATATCACTTTTGATACACGGAAAATACCCATGAGGTAGAGTAAAACGTTCTACACACAGTGGGACATCCTCACCTGAAGGTTCTGAGCCACGTCCAACTCCCTCTCTGTTAAAATCAACTTCAAAATAAACTCCATACTCAGAACTTTCATAGTCAATGGTCAATGTTAGCGGGGAGTTAAAGGCATATTAGCACTAAGCTGGGACTTTCTCTTTGAGATCACTAGAGGGATTCAGAAGAATGGAAAAAGGGACCAGGCATTGTGGCTCACACCCGTAATCTCAGCACTTTGGGAGGTCAAGGCTGGCGGATCACCTGAGGCCAGGAGTTCAAGACCAGCCTGGCCAATATGGTGAAACCCCATCTCTACTGAAAATACAAAAATTAGCCAGGCATGGTGGTGGGTGCCTGTAGTCCCAGCTACTCGGGAGGCTGAGGCAGGAGAGTCGCTGGAACCCAGGAGGCAGAGGTTGCAGGAGCCAAGATCACGCCACTGCACTCCAGACTGGGCGACAGAGCAAGGCTCCATCTCAAAAAAAAAAAAAGAAGAAGAAGAAGATGACGACGAATGGAGAAAGGGATGAGCTTCTCAGTTTGTGGTTCTCTGTTACTTGGCACCACACTGTGTGCTGCAGGCAGTGTTTTGGGAGAGCCTGGATTGAGAACTCCAGAGGCCACTCTGTCCAGCCCAGGCATGCTCCAAGTGCCTGAGGTCACTGGCAAATGACCACAGCTGGGCTCTCTTTGGCTCAAGAATCTTCAGATTCCATGCATTTTCAAGGCCTAGAAAATGCCTCCAGTATTTGAACCCCTTGACAGCTGGCCTCATTATGGCACCATTCCACAGGAGAAGAATCTCACTGGCCTCCACCCCATTATAATCACTTTAGATAAACCCTGCTCACAGGCGGCAAGAAATTAAAAAAAAAAAAAAAATGTGGGAATAGATGTTGTTTCACAGGCGGCAGAGATTTAGCTGTGTGGCTTTCTCTTCTTAATTGTGGGTCTGTCCAGGAAGCCCACAGCAGTGGATAAATCACGGTGATGGTTGGCAAGCCACTGTTTCCACACAGCTACCCGAAGAGTTACAATATTATCTGATGCTGAAAGGTGGGGACCGGGGAAAAGGGTGAATGGATGACTCAATCACAGATGGAGACGCAGAGATGAAGCCATTCATTCCCACCCACCACCACCACCACAAAAAAAGAACATCTGAGCCCCCACCATGAGTCAGGGATGAGCTGGTGCACCTGCCCTCAGGGGCTCAGCCAATAGAAGGTGCACCCCCTACTGATCTGAAGAAACTTGAAATCACAGAGTCATCCTACCCAAAATGCAAACTCAATGGTTTCCTCGCCTACTCAAAACCCTTTAAGGATGCAAAGGACATCTGGTTTTGCTTGCTCCATTCCCATTTTTCCGCTGGTAACAACTTCCTGGGCCTCTTAGGGGAGACCCTCTCCTCACCATCTTTGGTCTACATGGTCTGGCTGACGTGTGCTCCTCTGTCTCTCCACCTCACTCAGTGGTGGGCAAGCTCCCAGAACCCTGACTACCTAGGGGTGGCATGTCACCAAGACAGAGTCCAGGACAATCCCCGTCTTCAGTTGACACATCCTGAAAAGCAAATCTGCTTCTGCCCTGGGCTTGCCAGGAGCGTCAGTGGGGACTCTGGACCTGCCTCCAGAAAGGAAACAGGATTCGTGATGGTTAACTGGATGGGTCCACCCAAGTGCGAGGGCTGCCCCGATCAAATGTCGTTCTGGGTGTGTCTGTGAGAGTGTTTCCGGATAAGCTGAGCGTTTCAATTGGCAGACTCGGTAAAGTAGATGGCTCGTCCCCTTGCGGCTGAGCATCTTTCAAACCACTGAGGGGCTGAATAGAACAAAAAGGTGCAGGAATGAGAAAGTCACCCTGTTTTCTTCCTGCCCTCCTGCTTGAGCTGGGACATTGGGCTCCTTCTGCCCTGGGACTGAGGTTTACACCACCGCCTCCCTTGCTGGTCAGGCCTTCGGACTCAGTCTGGAGTCACTCACGGCAGATGGCCGGACTTCTCAGCCTTCATCATCGCATGATCCAACCCCTCCTAATAGATCTTCCTTTACGTAAATATATATAGCGATGATGAAGGTGGTGATGGTGGTAAGAGGATGAAGCTTCCCACCTCCCAGAGCAGAGGAGGAGGCTCTTCGGTGACCAGGCACTCAGAGAGACTCAGTAGCTCTGTTCATTTCTGGCACTTCCGGAATGAGCTTTTAGGATTCATGATGAATCAGACCTCAGCTGGTCATGGGACAAAGCCTTGTAAAATGTCCTCAACGGCTCCTTCCAACCTTCCAGTTCAATCTCACGATGCGTGAGATTCCCACCACTTGCAGATGCGTCACCTGTGGGGAGCCGTTCTGAGAGGCCACATGGCACGGTGGTTGGGAGCACACACACCGGAGCCAGACCGCCAGGTTTGAATCCTGGTTCAAACCCCAGTTCTGGCACTTCTCTTTCCAGGTCTCTGTTCAGCTCTGATTCCCATCTATAAAAAAGGGTACTGATAACCCCTCTGTGATAGGGCATCTCTAAGGGCTAATGAGGTAATACACGCAAAGTGTGTAAAACGTGAGAAGCTGCTGATATCATGACTTTCACGTGTACATTTCTTAAGGCGTTCAGCTCATCCACTCCTCACAACCAAAGAGTAGAAGTAAAGGAGCACATTTCTTTGGGGAGAGCAAAGCCAGAAATTCGAGGCTTTAAACAGTGATTCCTCTTAACTAGAGACACACATCAGATTTTGATCCAGTGCTAATATTTATGACAGCAAAAATTGAAAACAGCTTAAGTGTCCAACAATAAAGGCTTATCTTTATATACTTGGGTACATCCACATAACAGAATTTCAGAAATCATGTTATAAAATCATGTTACTAATGTTTATGTATAGAGAAAGGTATTTATAACTGGATGTTAAATGAAAGAAAATACAGGCCTGAGCTGCAGGCAGAGTATGATGCCCACTTTACAAAATACATAGGAAAAAAATGAAAAATACAGCAAAGTGTTTACAGAGGTTGTCTTTAGGAGGTGAGATTAATTTGCTTTTCTCTATTTTTCTAGTGGACCTATATTACTCTTTGAATAATAGAAAACCCATGATAAACGTTATCAAAATGTTGAGTGCCAGTTGGAGGAGAACCATGTTTAAAAGAGAGAGGGAAAGATGAGTTTCCTCAGCCAATGCCCTTGAAAAAATTAAAAACAGCACTTTCTTCATCCGATTACTTCCAATAATTTATTTTAATGAATCAAATTGCCCCCAAATTCAACTTTATTACTCATTTTTTTTGTTGTTGTAAAAGGAAATCCTCAAGAAGCAACAATCTTCTGCCCTCTGCTTGACTAAGCCATTTGAATCCTGCCCTCCTTGCTCCTTTTATGCCTGCCATGTTAGTTTGAGGAGGTGGTGGGAGCCCCAGCACAACTGCATGGCTTCTTTGAAACATGGAGTTCAGGGATTTGTGTAAGCCACCATTATGCTCCAACTTCAAGCAGTTAGAAGATTCTTCTCTGCACGTGCTGTTCCTGAGACCTTCCCTCTTCTTGATAATTTCAAATGAGAGAGTAGCCAAGACCATAATGTGAGATGGAAAGCAAAGGATAGCACAAGTTGGCAAGGTGGCACTCTCACCCCAAGTGAGGCTGTCATTCTTTGATATCATGCAAACACGTATTTACAGGACCATCAAGGAGGGGAACATTTTAACAAAGTTGACTTAAGCCTCAAAGTCTTTGGGGATATTTGTTACTGCAACATACCCCAACCTCTCTGACTGACACACTACTCTCTCCTCTTCTGCCTCACCTCACCTTGCCCCTGCCAACAAAACCCACTCCTTTAAAAGCAGCATGTTATTTAAATTCATATGTGACACTGAATCAGGACACATTTCTTACAATCGTGAGGGGAAAGAAATAGAGAGATTAGGATTAGGAACATGGACAGAAAATCACAGTTTGAGATCTCACTTATCAAAACATTCAAGAAAATAAGAATGAAGCCAAATACACATGGGTAAAGCTAATCAAGCTAGAGGCAACACAGGAGACTGAGACAAGCCAAGAGAAATGGAGAGCTGGGGGAAAACCACAGAATCCCTGTAGATTTATATGCAATGTGATGAGGCGTCATTTGCCGCCAGGCACAGAGCCTGGAGTCCACAGGGCAAAGGAAAGAAGTGCCCCTCTGGAGGGCTTCTCTGCCACTCAGATTATTCCCTCACTTGGCAGATGTGTTAACTTGTTAGGGCTGCCACAACCAAGTACCAAACTGGGTGGCTTAAACTCTGGAAATGGATTGTCTCGTGGTTCTAGAGGCCAGGAGTCTAAAATCAAGGTGTCAACAGGGTCGCTTCCTGCTGTTCCCAGCCTCTCTCCATGGTTTGTCGACTGCCATCTTCATATTCACATGGCTTTCTCCCTGTGTACCTGTCTGTGTTCAAGCTTCCTCTTTTAATCGGGACAGCAATCATCCTGAATTGCGACCCACCCTAGCAACCTCATCTTAACTAGTTACATCTGTACAACTTTATTTCCAAATAAGGGCACATCCCAAGGTAGTGGGGGTTAGGACTTCAACATACAAATTTAGAAAGACACAATTCAACCCATAATGGAGGGTCTTGTTCTCTGGGTACTGAAGATATGCAAGGGTCCCAGGAGCTGCCAGGGGCATGATTACCCTAACCCTCTTCTTGTCAGCTTGGTCATGGCTGTGAAGAGGCCCTTCATCCCTTCTCCAGTCCCTTCCGATTCAATCTCCCCAGAACCATCTCTGAAAATGGCCTTGGAGTCCCTCCATTTGGAATCATCCAGTGGCTTCCCTAATACAGCCCGAGAGCCTGGCCTGCCTGGCCCCTGCTGACCCCTTAACCTCCTGGCCTGGTCTCCCTGCCCAGCTCCATGCACACAGCCTCTGGTGAGCTTCAACTGAGCCCCCTCCCTCCGCACGGTGGTGGCACACACTCCTCCCTGCATCTGGGATGTTCTTTACCCTGCCGTCTCTTCTCAAGTCCTTAACTCAACTCTTGCTCGATTTTCTGTCTCTGGTAAACTCCACTCTCCTCAAAAAATAGCTCTCCTATCCCTCTGTCCTCTACAGAGCATCTACCTGCCCCTGCTACCTGGCAAGTCTGATCAGGCAAGGGCTGCAATGGATGGAATGCTTGTGTCCCTTCCAATTTATCCTATCCCCTAATGTGATGGTTTTAGGAGGCAAGAGGTGATTATGCCATGAAGGTAGAACCCTTATGAATGGAATTATGTCCTTATTAAAGGAACCCCAGAGAGCTGCCTTGTGCTTTCTTCCACCATGTTAGAGTACAGTGAGAATATGGTCGACAGGAAGAGGGCCCTCACCAGATACTGAATCTGCTGACACCTCGGTCTCAGACTTCCCAGCCTCCTGAACTATGAGAAATAAATTTATGTTGCTTAAGCCACCCAGTTATAGCAGCCCAAACTCATTAGAACAGAAAAATACCAAAAAAACAACGTGTTGTTGTAACAAATATCTGAAAATACAGACAGCTTTGCAACTGGGGTAATGGGTAGAGGCTGGAAGAGTTTTGAGGTGCATGCTAGAAAAAGCCTAGAATTCCATGAAGGGAATTTTGAAGGTGATTCTGATGGGAGCTCAGAAAGATAAGAGGAGTTTCCATCTTCTTCGAGAATAGCTAAGTAATCATGAGTAAAACGTTGAGAGAAACATGGACGGCAAAGGCCATTCTGGTGAAGTCTCAGATGGAAATGAGAACCATATTATTGGAAACTGGAGGAAAGGCCATTCTTGTTATAAAACAGGAAAGAATGTGGCTGAATTGTGTTCATGTTCTAGCGTTTCATGGAAGGTGGAACTTGTGAACAATGAAATTGGATATTTAGCTAAGAAAATGTCTAAGCAAATTGTTAAAGAAGTGGCTTGATTCCTCCTGACTGCTTATAATAAAATGTGTGAAGGAAGAAATAATTTGAAGACGGAATTATTAGGCAAAAAGGAACCAGAATTTAAAGGGTTGGGAAATTGTCAACCTATCCCTACTGCAAAAAAATGAGAAAGCTTGTTTGGAGGAGAATGTTAAGGATGTGGCTCAGTGACTACTTGATAAGAAGATTAGTATGGATATGAACCATGGGCTTGATCAACCATCTCAGTAAAAGCCAGGAGCAAAGATGGAATTGTACCAGCAGAAGCACTGCTATCTAGGACTAAAGGAAAAGAGGTAACAGGACAAAACGAAGATTATAGGACTTCTTAGACCCCACAGAACCAGATCACAGAATTCTTCAGATGTGAACATGCAGCTTTCTTCAACACAAGGAAAGAAGGACCCCAAAGGTGATTCAGCGGTCACCAGAGCGGCCACTCCCACTACAGGCCCAGAGTGCATGGCCTCCACCTCGACTGCAAAGGTGGAGAGGGCTGCCTTCATCTTGATTGCAAAGGATGGAACCAACACCCAGTGAAGCCACAGTGGCCCAGCAGGATCCCCCAATCCCAACAGACGGCTGCATCAGGAGGGGGCCCCTCCTGAGAGCCACAGCATGGGAAGCACCCTGCTAAGCTGGTAGGGACAGTGCTGTTACCACCCCAGTGGGTCTAGAAGGCAAAGCATTGAGCTAAAGAAGATTATTCTTGATCTTAAGATCTCATGGAGCTTGCCTTGCTAGATTTTGAACTTGCTGAGGACCCATCTGACCCCTTCCTCCTTTGCTATTTCTTTCTCTCTTTTTTGGAATGTGAATGTCTGTCCTATGCTCACTCACCATTGTATTTTGGAAGTACATAACTTGTTTGGCTTCACAGGCTCACATCTGGTGAGGAATTTTGTCTCGCCATGAGTCATACCTTGAGTCTCACACATAGTGGTTTAGATGCTATTTAGGGAAGACTTTGGACTTTAGACTTGAGTTGATATTGGGACTCTTGGGGCTACTGAGATGTGGTAAATGTATTTTGCATGTGAGAAGGACTTGAATTTGGGGGATCCAGGGTGGAATGCTATATATAGACTGAATGTGTGTGTCCCCCTAAAATTCATTATGTTGCAATCTTAACCCCCAGTGTGATGCTATTAAGAGGCGGGGCTTTGGGGAGGTGATTAGGTCATGAGGGTGAGGCTCACATCAGTGGGATTAGTGCCCTTATAAAGAGACCCTGGAGTGTTCTCTCTCTCTCACTCTTTTCTGTCATGGGAGAAGACAGCCAACTGGACGGAGGACGTGGGCCCTCACCAGCCACAAAATCTGCCACCTCCCTTATCTCAGACTTCCCAGCCTTCTGCACTGTGGGGAATATGTGTCTGTTGTTTCAGCCGCCCCATCTGTTATTGCAACAGAAGTGACTAGGACAGGGGCCATGGCTGTTTTCACTTGTACTTGCTGGGGATGCACGGGTACCCCCACGCAGTTACCTCCAGATCTCTTTCTCACCTCTGTGTGCCCACCCCTCACATCCCGAGCTTTGCCAAGGAGACCCAAACTTCAGAGGAGTACCCTGTGGGCAACCTGCATGCTGCCGCACCATGCCCACGGTCAGTGACTGGCTGGTGAGGTGAGACCAGCAGCACCCACTCTGATTAGGCCAACTCTGGAGGGGGGAAATTTATATGCCAGGGCTCTCCCCGGGATCAGGCAGGAGAATGGGAGACACTGAAGTCACCCCCTGCTTGGCTTCCTCTCCGTCCCTGTTCTGGTTCCCCTCCCTGAGTGGCATCTCCTGGGACATGTCCTAATCCTCACCTCAGAGTCTGCTGGGACAGCACCTGCCCCAAATGCCACTGTAACCCTGGGCCTTGCATGGTGCCAGCAACTGGAAGATGCGGAGCAAACATCTGTTCAGTCAGTAAACATCTCCCAATACCACTTTTTTTTTTTTTTTTTTTTGAGATGGAGTCTTGCTCTGTTGTCCAGGCCGGAGTGCAATGGTGCCATCTTAGCTCACTCCAACCTCCGCCTCCCTGGTTCAAGCAGTTCTCCTGCCTCTGCCTCCTGAGTAGCTGGGATTACAGGCATGCACCACCACACCCAGCTAATTTTTGTATTTTTAGTACATACGAGGTTTCACCATGTTGGCCAGGCTGATCTTGAACTTCTGACCTCATGTGATCTGCCTGCCTCGGCCTCCCAAAGTGCTAGGATTACAGGCGTGAGCCACCACGCCCCAACCCCAAAACCACTTTTGTCCCCACTGGCTGAGAGCCCCTGTTGCTACACATTCTGCCCTTCCCTATGTGAAATAGTACTATGTCAAAGCTGTGCTTGGGGCCCTCCCTGGACTGTCAGTGTGCCCTGAGGGTTAATTGGAGTCAGGAAAACTTACAGCCTCTTTTTGAGCACTACCAGAAAGGCACATCCTTTAGAAACAAACTAGGACAATATTTTCTCAGTGTTTCTCCAGTTTGTGTTTTTTTTTTTTTTCAACCACAATCTTCCCTTTTTCCCTCTTGCTTTTGATTTGGGGTGAAAGGCGTGCATACTGTGGGGCCTAGAACACAATCCAAACCCCAGTCCCCGGCTGCAAAGCACCAACGCTTCAGCCTTTGTTGGCTGATAAATAGAAACTTCTGCCTCTCAAGACAAGCCTGAAATGAAGCGGAACCCTTATTGCTAAGAAAAATGACACGTGAACGGCTCCCGTTTGAGCTTCCAGAAATGCCCCGGCTTCCCAGGACTGGCTGCACGTCATGATGCTGGCGGAAGGAGACCGTGGTCTTGATTGACTCCACAGCACTAGCAGGAAATGGTTTCTAAACTTTTGCCCAACTAGCGGCCTCTTTCCTGACCTCTTTCTCCCCTTGAAAGCAAAATAGATCCTAGGAACTGAGATGGAGCTGAAGTTTATGAGTTAGTGTTTCCAGAGAGACAATCCAAGACTGGGATTCCTTCTTCCAAGGTTGATTGGGTCACAGTTAAGAAAACTCCATCCATTGCAAACTCAATGGCCTCAGCGGTCAGGTTGGTGACGTCACGGTCAGTGGGCTAGACATGAGAGAAAACAGCAAATGGTGGTAAGCGGTGCAGCGGGGAAGCTCAGGCCCCATCTAAAGTGGAAACTTCTGCCCAGCTCCAGATAACCGTTGCCACATGGAAATACAGCCCAGCACTGTCAGCTCTCTTGATTTTTCAATAGAAGTTAGATGGTTGTCTTCTGGGTTGAAATTTCTCAATGATGAGACCTATTCGCATTTTTTAAAAAGCACTAACTAGGCAGGTGCCTGGCCCAGTGAGTCTCAGACTCTTCTAAACAAAAGAGTTTGACCAGTGAGATTTGGAAAGCAGGCATTTGTCATCAGAATAGCAGGTGTGGTTGTGCCTAGAGCTCCTTCTGCTTCCCCTTAATTCCAGGGTGGTGAATCAGAGTTATCTCAGTTATTGAAAATATGTATTTCAACAAACAGTGGCTTGACCAACTCATCCTGGCTTGCCTGGGACTTTCCCAATTTTAAAACTTAAAATTCTGCCTCTTGGAGTCCTCCTCAGTCTCAGGAAAACCAGAATAGCTGGTCACCCTCAAGAAGGGATATTTGGTGAGTCATTTAGTTGTGCCCCCTTGGGAGCTCATTAGCTGGAAGAGGAAATGAGCCCTTTGTGAAATAACTGAAAGTAGCAATGGGGACTGTGCCCCTCAGAGTCAAGATCAAACATCCGTTCTCAAGACCTTATCTTGTGAAATCCAAGCTGAGCACAGCCGTGCTTTCAGACAAAGCCTGTCCAACTTCCCAGTTTACTACAGACAGTTGCTACGAGGGCCTGGATCCCTGAATGGCTGCGTGAAGCAGCACCCCTGCCACCACATACTGGGCTGTGATTGTGTTCAGCCTCTGAGATTTGGGGGTTGTCTGTCACAGCATTTGGACTCCCCTGACTGGCACACTATTGGACCCTTAACTTTTTGGCCTCTAGCATGAGGCTGGTCTCCTTATCCTCTCCTAGGAATGTGGATGTGGTGTTCAGGGCCTAGATGGTCTCTGTTGGCTGCTTGAAGGTGTGTACAAAAGGCACCAGGTTCTCAGAGGAGAGGACAGAACTAGTGTGAGGGGTCAAATTGTGTCCCCCAAATTCTTATGTTGGAGCCCTAACCCCCCCTACCCTAGAATGTGACTGTATTAAGGGATAGGGTTTTACAGAGGTAATTAAGTTAAAATGAGTGCATATGAGTGGGCCCAAATTCAATACGACTGGTGGTCCACACAAGAAGAGGAAATCTGGACACAGACACACACACAGAGGGGCAACTATGACAGACACAGCGAGAAGACAGCCACCTACAAGCCAAGGAAAGAAGCCTCAGAAGAAGGCAATCCTGCCAACTGCAAAAAGCAAGGTAATGAATTCTCCCCTAGAGCCCCCAGAAGGAGCACAGCCCTGCTGACACCAGAACTGTAAGACAATACATTTACGTTGTTTTCAGCCACTCAGTTTGTAGTCATTCATTATAATAGAAATAGGAAACTTAACACAACTTTGAATAGTGTATTCTTCATGAACCCCAGCCCTAAATTTGTTTAAATGTCTGCTTTCTTTTCCTCTCAACTATTAATACTGAAGCTGGGTCAGTGAAGGAATGCACCTGAGTTTTGAACTCTGGTTGAGTTCCAAACAATAAGCAATTGATGGAAAGAGCAATTGCACATAGAGCCAAAGTAGTTAAAACCCTCGTGGACGTGTGAATTTTCAAAAGCAAATTGCCACCCCTCCCTCTGCTGCTTCATGGTTTATTTGATGGAGTGTGTATTTAGCCAGGTGGGGGTAGTGGGGAAAAGCAAGGCTCTGTCCTGATTATCCCACCTGAGTCATGGACTGCTTAGGGACACCCACTTCAGCAGGGGTAGGGCACATGCAAGGGACTCCAACCCCAATGGCGGTGAAACAGCGAGAAAACTGTCAGCTTTGCCAATTGCCTATCCCCTGGGGTGTTTCTCATTCTCGTCTCGCAGCAGGTCTCATACCCTCCTCCCTTTAAGTGGCATGGTGGGTTAGGAGTGTGGTGCTGCAGGAGAGACGCTGTGCTGGAGAGACAAGTGCTGCCGACACGGTGCTATGGTTGCAGTCACACGCCCCTCAGGCTGGAGAAAGCAGACAGCTGCACCCACGGGCTCACATGTGCCGGCTCCATCTGCGAGATCATTAAAACCGAGCCTTGGCAGAGTCTGCAGAAAAACACATTTGTTTTCTTCGTAAAGAGGAAGAGTAAACTTTCCTGTCGTCCTCATAAGTTTCTGCAATTACTTTAATGTGCAAAGCGCCTTGTACAAAAGCAGGAAGCTGTTACCCAGACTAAGGCGCCAGGATGCATGCTTCCCTTAAATTATACGTGAAATTACACGTTCTCCAGCACTGGTGGCTTACTTGCCATTTAACAGTAATAAGACACACGATTCCAATGCTCACAATGGTGTTCAGGGGCTCGGCAATTTGCTTCTTATGCTGTCACGCATCTAACCAAACCAGGTAGGCTCCAAGATGATCATTCAGAGAAAACAGACTGTCTCGAAGATGAGGAGATGTGTGGTCCTCACAATCCTGGAGTCACCACGAAGAGAATGAGCCCAGGAAATCTGCAAAACAGGAGTGTCCCAGCTTCCGAGTTCAGAGAAGAGCTTTTATGTTCATCCTTTTAATATATGATAGAGATCCTGTCCTAGATTCACACCCCATTACATTCCCAACCCACCTGCACCCACTCCCCAAAATGAAACCGACTGGAGCCATTCAGACAGCCTGAATCTCTGCTCTCTCACTTCATATGTGACTCGCTGAGCCTCAGATTTCTCATCTGTTAAATGGGCATTTGATTACATCTTCTTCTAAAGACCATGCAGATAATTGAGACAGATAATATCTATAAAGTACTTGGCACAGTGTTTGTCTTATAATTGTTTATTACTGCCAATCATTATTTCTCTGCAACTATTCTATTAAATACTTTCAAAGATTTAGTCACCCCTCCAGTGCAGCCCTTAGCCCTCATCCTAAACCTAGCACTGAGTTCTGTGAGGTTTTGAGCAAGGGATGGCCCAGCTACAGCTTGCGGGCCAAATTCTGCAAGCCACCTATGCTTGTGCACTTTTTAAGCTAATACCAGTTTAACGATCAAGGAAAAATCAAAAGAAGCATCGGACACAGTGGCTCATGCCTGTAATCCCAGCACTTTGGGAGGCCAAGGAGGGCAGATTACTTGAGGCCAGGAGTTCAAGACCAGCTTGGCCAACATGGTGAAACTCCATCTCTACTAAAAATACAAAAATTAATCAGGCATGGTGTTGGGTTCCTGTAATCTCAGCTACTCAGAAGGCTGAGGGAGGAGGTTCACTTGAATGGGGGAGGCGGAGGTTGCAGTGAGCAGAGATCGCACCAAGGCACTCCAGCCTGGACAACAGAGCAAGACTCTGTCTCAAAAAAAAGAAAGAAAGAAATCAAAAGAAGCATATTATTTTGTGATGTGTGGAAATTAAAAGAAATATAAATGTCAGTGTCCATAAATGGTTTTATTGAGTCATAGTCATGCCTATTCATTTACATATTGTCTATGCTTTTGTACCCAACTATGGAGTTCAGTTGCCACAGAGACCATGTGACCCACAGCACTGAGGATATTTACTGTATATCCTTTACAGAAGTTTGCAGATCTCCACGCCCGGGAATAAAACCAATGTCTTTGGAAGCCTTGGCCCAGTCTCACAGTTGATATTGAAAAATCCCAAGATATGACCTGCTAGGCTGGACGTGAGGAGCACCTAGAAAGGTGGTCATTTTTATTCGTTCAGTGGCATCTCAACCAAAGACAATAGTGAGAGCAGCTAGTGGCTTAGATTCATTGGGATGGCCGTGACATTTGAGCCAAGAAAGCCATGTTTAAATCCCAGATTTGTCACTCACGGGTGGTGTGATTTTGGATTTTGAGCTGATGACCCAACCTCGCTGAGCCTCACTGGTCTCTACTATTGGCTAGGGACGTCAGTTTATCTGGCAGAGAAGTGTTAGGACAAATGAAATAAATGTCAGCCCCACCACAGAGGATCAGACACTCCACTGCTGAATAATGTTTGTTCCCTCCCTGAAAATTTGTCTTTGTGGTCTGTAAAACAGAGAGAGAGAACACATCAAAAGAGAAAAATCATTCTATGATATGAAAAATACATAAACTTCCAGTTTCAGTTCTGTCACGTAAACAGCTTGGAAGTTGTCACTCCCGTCCATACAACAACAACAACAACAAAAAGCTGGACAAACTGAAAATCAATGACTTTTCATGGACCCATCAGAGAACTGAGTTTTCAAGGTAAATTACCACCCCAAGTCTGGAGAGACAGATGAACCTAGAGAGTAACAGCCAAGCTCCACTTACCCAGAGCAGAAGCTGCCGGAGCCAGAACTAGTAGAACAGTTACACGGCAATTTTGACAAATTGCTAACTGGTGAATATAGACCAGCTCTCAGTGAGAAACTCCCAGGGCTGCAATCTTAGGGGGACTCCACAATTTCATGGGCTTTGCCTCCAGGAATCCCCAAGTTCTCATTGAGAAGATTCTAGAAAGAGCCTCTCCTGGCTCTAACAAGGAGAGGAAGAGTAATTCTTATAACAACAACAACAACAAAAAACCACCAGAGCCTTCTCCATAACGAAGGCCCATTCCCCAGGGGAAAGACTGCCCAGCCTTATCCCAGCTTGGGGAAGGGCATTCTCTCACTGCAGCCCCCTCTAGCTTTCCTGTCTCACCTACAGGTCGGAGAAACAGTTGTGAAGGTCACAGGCCAGACACAGGACCCCCTGGAAGACTGAGATTTAATCTGAAGACTATATAGAACACTCCCCTTTTCCCACAATTTACCACCTCACCAACAGGGCTCCAGCATAACAGCAGTGAATTACAGCTGAAAGGGCTCCAAGAAACAGTACTCTCTCTGAGGAAGGCTTGGAGAAGTTCAAAGTCAAGGGTGGGGAAAAAATAAAGACCTAAAGAAATTTGAAATCTCTGGCACCTACAGATATAACAAACATTAAACACAGACCAACTCTAAGTAAAATTAACATAAATCCTCACACTAATGGCCTACTTAGCTCAATTCCTGCTACCTGATACACCATGACTGGTTTCAACAAAAAATTTAAAAGGACACCAAAAAGGAAGAAAGAAAAACCACACAGTCTGAAGAGACATAGCAAACATCAGAACCAGACTCAGATATGACACAGATGTTGAAATTATCAGACAGGGAGTTTCAAATAACTATGATTAATACATTAAGGACTCTATTGGGAAAAAGTAGAAAACATGCAAAAACAGATTGATAATGAAACCAGAAAAATAAAAATTCTAAGAAATAATCAAAAGGAAATGCTAACATTTCTAACAACAATGAAGACTGCCTTAGATGCGCCCATCTGTAGACTGGACATGGCTGTGCAGAGAATTAGTGAGCCTGAAGATACATCAATAGAAACTTCCCAAACTGAAATGCAAAGAGAAAAAAAAAGAACAATAGAAACAAAACAGAATACCCATGAAGTGTGGGAACATTTCAGAAGATGTCAGGTACATGCAATTAAAATGCAAGGAGAAAAAAGAGAATGGGGGACAATATTTGAGGTAGTAATGGCCAAGAACTTTCCAAAATTAATGACATTTATCAACCTACAGGCCCAGGAGGTTCAGAGAACACCAAAAAGTTACATCTAGGTATATCATGTGCAAACTGCAGAAAACCAAAGATAAAGAGAAAATTTTGAAAGAAGACAGAGGTGGGGAAAACCTTACCTCTAGAGGAAGAATTATAGAATTGTAAGCAGACTTCTCATCAGAAACTATGCAAGCAAGAATAGTTGAGTGAAATATTTAAAGTGTTGAATGGGGAAAAGACAACTTAGAATTCTATATCCAGCTAAAGTATCCTTCAAAAGTGAAGGAGAAATAAAGATTCTAATAAACAAAAACTGACTGAATGTGCTGCTCTCGGACCTGCTCTGTGAGAAATTTTCTTCAGTCAGAAGAAAAATGACAGATGTCAGAAAGCTGGATCTACATTTTTTAAAAAATCATCAGAGAAGACAAATGAAAATAAAATCTTTTATTTTTCTTATTCTTCATTAATCTAAATGATAACAGATTGTTTAAAGTAATAATAACATCTTAGTCTGCCTAGGCTACCATGATAAAATACCACAAACTGGGTGTCTTAAACAACAGAAATTTATTTTCCTGTAGTTCTGGAGACTTGAAAGCCCAGCATCAAGGTTCCAGCTGACTCATTTTCTGGTAAGGACTCTTCTTGTTCTTACCAGGAAATGCCGGAGGCAGGAAGTTTCTTGTCCTCACGTGACTGGACCTTGGTGCATTCATGTGGGGAAAGAGAAAGGAGAGGAGCTTTCTGGAATTTCTTCTTGTAAGGACACCAGTCCCATCAGATCAGAGACCCATCTTTATGACTTCATTTAAGCTGAATCGCCTCCTTCTAGGCCCTACCTACAAACACAATCACAATGGTGGTTAGGGTTCCAACATATGAATTTGAGGAGACACAATTTAATAGCAAATAATAACATTGTGTTGGGGGATCATAAGTGAAATGAATGAAAACAATGTCACAAGAGATAGGAGGGAGGACTTAGGAATATTCTGCTGTGAAATAGCTGCATTACACATGAAGTGTAAAGGTATTATTTTAAGGTGAACTTAAATTAGTTAAAAGTGTATATAGCAAACTCTAGGGCAACCACTGAAAACCTTTTTTAAAGAAGCATAATTAATACACTAAGTGAGGAGATAAAATGGAATCATATGAAATGCTAAATTAAAACCAGAGAGGCAGAAAAAATTGTTTCTGGCAACAAATAGAAAGCAGTTACAAACATGGTTGATATTAATCAATGTATATATCAATAAGCACTTTAAATGTGAATGGTCTAATTATACCAATTAAAAGGCAGAGATTATCAGAATGAATAAAAAACAAGACTCAACTACACACTGTCTATTGGAAACAAAGTTTAAACGTAAAGACTCTGATAGGTTAAGAGTAAGGAAGTAGAGAAAAATACACCATGCAAACCAAGAAAGCTGGAGTAGCTGTAATAATTTTAGACAAAGTAGACGTCAGAAGATGGAAAATTATCAGGGATTAAAAATGGATATTGTATAATCATAACGGGGTCAATTCCTCAAGAAGATATGACAATCCTGAATATGTAGCTAGCAACAGAGCTTCAAAATACATGAGTCAAAAACAGATAGAAGTGAAAGTAATCACAGACAAATCCAATATTATACCTAGAGATTTCAACACTGTCATGTCAGTCATTGATAGCTCAAGCAGGAGGAAAATCAATAATGATGTAGTTGACAAAAATAGCACTATCAGTCAACTTGATCTGATTGACATATCCATATACAGAATACTCCATCCAATAAAAGCCAAATACAGATTCTTCTCAAGCTTACATGGGACATGTACCAAGATAAAAAATATTCTTGCCCATAACACACCTTAAAAAACTTAAAAGAACATAAATCATACAAAATATGCTTCCACAATGGATTTAAACTGAAAATCCATACTAGAAAGATAGCTTGAAATTTCCACAAATGTTTGGAACACATGTTGAAGAAGTCTCAAGATAAATTAAGAAATATTTTGAGCTAAGTGAAAATGAAAGTACAACCTATCTAAATTTGTGAGATGCAGCAAAGGTAGTGCTTAAAGGAAAATTTATAGCATTACATGTATATTTTAGAAAAGAAAAAGGATTTGAAATTGATAGCCCAAACTTACACTACAGGAAATTATAGGAAGAATTTAAGCAATTTAGGCCTAAAGCAAGCAGAAGAGAAGAAGTAACATAAATTAGGGTCAAAGTCAATGAAAATTTAAATGGAAAAGCAATAGAGAAAAGCAGTGAAACCAAAAGCTGGTTCTTTGAAAAGATGAACAAAACTGATAAATTTCTAACCTAGCTAATCAAGAAAAAAGAGAGAGACATGCACACATAAATTGCCAACGTTAGAAATGAAACAAGGGTCATCCCTACTGACCCCATGGACATTGAAAAGATATTAAAGGAATACTACAAACAATGCTATGTCAATGCAACTCATTTTAATCATTTAGATGAAATAAGCAATTTATGGAAAGACATGGGCTACCAAAATTCCTACAAGTAGAAGTAGACAAGCTAAAAGCCCAATATCTATACAATTAATTGAATCAACAGTTAATAACCTTCTTAAAATGTAATCACCAGGAGCAGATGACTTTACTGACGAATCTTACTAAACATTTAAGGAAGAAAAAATACAAATTGTCTCTGCTGTCATTTAGAAAACAGAATCATCATGCCCATAATCACAGTGCTTTGGAAAGCCAAGGTGGGAGGACTGCTTGAGGCCAGGAGTTTGAGACAGCCTGGGTAACAGAGGGAGACCCCATCTCTACCAAAAAAAAAAAAAAATTCAATTTAAAAAAATAGAGTAGAAATCAGAGAAAACACTTCTTAACTCATTCTATGAATCCAGAATTACCCTGACACCAAAACCATAGAAAGATATTACTAAAAGGAAAGATGCAGGCCAATCTATCTGATGAATACAGATTAAAATCTTCAATAAAAGTGTCTTTGTTCATAAATGACATAATTATTGATGTATAAAAATTCCAAAAATTGTCCACAAACATTAGAAAATTGAATCCAACAATGTATTTTTAAAATTATGCACCAGGTCCAAGTGGAATTTATTCCAGATATTCAAGGCTGGTTCAACCTTCAAATATCAATTAATGATAATTGATAAAAAATCCACCACCATGACTGGCAAAAGGGGAACAACTATGTAATAATATCAAATGACCCAGAAAAGCATTTGACAATATTCAACGTCCATGATAAAGTTTCTCAGCAACCTAAGAATAGAGGAAAACTTTGTCAACTTAATAAAAAACAGGTGGGCATGGTGGCTCATGCCTGTAATCCCACCGCTTTGGGAGGCTAAGGCAAGAGGATCCCTTGAGGCAAGGAGTTCAAGACCACCTTCAGCAACATAGCAAGACCCCATCTCTACAAAAAGTAAAAAAACAATTAGTAGGGTGTGGTAGCACAGGCCGATAGTCCTAGCTACTCAGGAGGTTGAGACAGGAGGGTCATTTTAAGCCCAGAAGCTTGAGGTTACAGTGAGCTATGATCTTGCCACTATACTCCAGGCTGGGCAATACAGTCAGACCCTAGCTCAGAAAAGAAGAAGAAAGAATAGGAAGAAGAAGGAGAAGAAGAAAAAAGAAGAGCATTTACAAAAACCTACACCTAATATTATACTTAATGAGAAGCAGATGCTTTTCCCTTTAGATTGGCAATAAGGCTGAGATATCCCTTCTCACCACTCTTATTCACCTCTGTGCCAGAGGTCCTAGGTAGTGCAATAAGACAAGAAAGGGGAATAAAAGATATACCAATTGGGAAGGAAGAAATAAAACTGACTTTGTTCATGGATGATATGATTGTCTATGTAGAAAATACAAAAACATGGTTGGGTACAGTGGCTCACGCCTGTAATCCTAGCACTTTGGGAGGCCGATGCACATGGATCATGAGGTCAGGAGATTGAGACCATCCTGGCCAACATGGTGAAACCCCGTCTCTTCTAAAAATACAAAAAATAGCTGGGTGTGGTGGCATGTGCCTGTAATCCCAGTACACTCAGGAGGCTGAGGCAGGAGAATGGCTTGAACCAGGGAGTCAGAGGTTGCAGTGAGCTGAAATCATGCCACTGCACTCCAGCCTGGTGACAGAGCAAGATTCCGTCTCAAAAAAAAAAAAGATGTTTACCAAAAAACGTATAGAATTAATTAGTGATATCAGGTTTGCATGATACAATATAAATATATAAAAGTTGTTTTCCTATATGCCAACCACAAAGAGTTAGACTTTGGTAATTAAAAGTACACTACCATCTACAATAGCATCAAAAAAATCTTTAAAAAATTAAAACTCATGGAGAGTGGAATGATGGCTACCAGAGTCTGGGAGGTGAGGAGGGAGGGAGTGGGGAGTTATTAATCAAAGGGTACAAAGTTTCGACTAGACAGAAGGAATAAGTTTTGAGATCTACTGCATAGCAGAATGACTATAGTCAATAATAATGTATATCTTATAATAACTTAGGGAGTAAACTTCAAATGTCTTACCTTAAAAGTGATAGGTAAGTGAGGTGATGAATATGTTAATTAGCTTGATTTAATCATTCCACATTGTATTGTATAAATGTATACAATTATAATTTGTCAATTAAAAATAAAATATATAAATAAAAATGAAAAGATTAGAAGAATTTTTTTTAATAGCACCAAAAAAGTGGGATACTTACGTATAAGTCAAATAAAATATGTACAGGTCCCGTATGTGGAACTAAATATCAAACTCCTAAGTAAATGGACAGATAGTCCATACTCATGCATTGAAAGACTCAATATTGTTAAGATGTCAATTCTTTTGAATTTTTTCCTACAGATTCATTGTAACACTAATTTAAAAAGCAGGAAGCTATTTTCTGAATATCAACAAACTGACTCTAAAGTTTATGTAGAAGCACAAAAGATCCAAAATAGCCAACATGACACTAAAGAAGAAGAGCAGACTTCAAGACTTAAAGCTACAGTAATCAAGACAGCATGATATTGGCAAAAGAATAGGGACACAACTCATTCGAACAGAATAGAGAGACCAGAAATAGAGTCACACAAATATAGTCAACTGATCTTTAGCAAAGAAACAAAAGGCAGTTTTAAGGAGAAAGTATAGTCTCTTCAACAAATGGTGCTGGAACAATTGGACATCCATATGCAAAAAAAAAAAAAAAAAAAAAAAAAAAAAAAATCTAGACACAAACCTTACATCCTTCACAAAAATTAACTCAAAATGAATCACAGACCTAAGTATAAAATGCAGCACTATAAAACTTCTAGAAGATAACATGGAAGAAAATCTAAGTGACCTTGGGTTTAGCAAAGAGTTTTTACATACACCAAAAACATAATTCATGAAAGAAAAAAAAAATAAATTAGACTCT